CATATTTTTTTTCAGTGTGTGTGTCATTCTGTGTTTCTATGTTCTTAGTTTGTTTGAACTTTGCTGTTTTTCTGTTTTGCATCTCGCTCCTGTTCATTATTCCATGTTTTCTGGGTCTTTGCCAGATCCATGCTGTTGTCACATGTCTCCGTCTCTAGTTCGCCGTTCTTGCTTTGGGTCCTGTTCTGTTTTTTTCTTACTTTCTCTTTAATATTTTTGTATTAAAGCTCAGTTTTAGGGGTTCCAGCTCGGTAAACCGCTCCCCACCCCCCGATTCAAATCAATGGCTCCTCACCATCCTTCTGCAGAGCTGAGGAGCCGACGCATTTGTTCCAATCAGGTGTGTTGGAGCAGGAAATGCTGCTTTAAAGTATTATTATGGAGACCATTTAACCATTTTTTGGTTCACAGAAGACTTTAACTTAAGTATATTTGTGCAAACACACCAATGAGCACAAACAAAGGATCATTTGGGGTTCAGCGTCCTGTACAAGGAGAATTTAGCATTTAAAACCACAAAGAATAATATTTGAAAATGAAAACATAAAGGGAAAATGGCATTTTGGTTTTTGTTAGTTAAAAATATAATTCCTTTTTGTAGCTTAAACTGTAAAGAAGTCCAGATGTAACCAGATGTAAGAAAATCGTCAGACATAGACCAATTATCTCCTCCGGCTAAAACTTAATGAGGGGAAAGTCTCTCAGAAATCAGAAGGAGCCTGGAAATCCCTCTGTTGGGAGGCATTTATCGAAAGGCATCATGAGCACGGGATGTCTTTCAGAAGTTTAAATTGGTCATTCGAAAACCACACGGCTTTCAAAGGGTCTGCATCTGAATCCTCAACAGGAGCTCAGTCTGTAGCTCTCATCTTCCTCCAGCTCTAACTTTCTTGTGGGGATATTTACAAAAGAAAATCAGACTCCCGCCTCTCACGACCAAACCATAGGGCCGAGTGGGACCACAAAGGCCTCAAAATGTAGCTGCGGGTGTCCTGTTTAGGCAAAGGTGTCCGCTTTTGACCTCGGACGTACGGTTTTCATGCAATCGGGAAAACCATACGTCCAGACTGTCCCAATGGGCTCCCATTGAGATGCAATGGAACAAAAGTGAGAAAATTTAATCAACCGCCAAAACGGACCTCATTTTGAAACTGCCATGAAAAAGAAACTGGCGAAGGTTAGGGATGGGGATCGTTAATATTTATTGATATCGATACCTTTATCGATTCTCCTTATCGATCCGATTCTTTATGGAATCCACTATCGATACTTTTCTGTTATTTGGTGGAAAGACGATGCGACAATATTTAGCAAAAAAATAATTGTATTTTAAATTAAATGTGATTTTTAATAAATGTTGGCATCAGTAGTTTAATTATATATTCTAAAATAATTAGAGCAATATACAACTGTATTACTCATGTTTTTCGCCAAAAACTAAATTTCCCTTGTCTTTACATTACACTTGAACGCATCACGATAACCTAATTGTCGTTTTACTGAGCCAATCTGAACACGTCTGAAACTTTATTTACTTTTCAAGCTAACTAGCTTGTATGCTGCCGATTACAACACGGATTTCTCAATTACTATTGTAATAATAAAAAAAAACTACCAGACTCGATAGTGGTATCGATAAGCCCAAACGTTATTGATTTTCGGGTTTTGAAAAAAGTGGAACCGGGTCCTTGATAGAACCGGGTTTCGATCCCCATCCCTAGTGAAGGTAGCCGAAAAGCGGAAACACTGGTGAGGCCCTACGGCCTTTGCTCACGGTTTGAGAATTTCTCAGATATCTCTTATAGTTTTCGAACGGTGGCCAGGAGTTCAGGGTGAAGTTTTGATGAGAAGTCTCGGAACGTCAATTATCCCTTCTAATAGCCTAACTGGGGACAGGCATTGAGAATTAGCCTTAGCTAAAATGTTGTAGTGTGTGACATGTTTCATGAAACATACTTGTCCCTATCAAATAAACAAATAAATAAATAAATAAATAAATAAATAAATAAATAAATAAATAAATAAATAAATAAATAAATAAATAAAATAAACAGGCTCGGCTGCCATATTTGGAATGTTTAGTGGTGGTGAGCTGGAAGACTGCGCTACCCAGAATGCTTTGCGCTTCAAACCAGGAAGTAAAAACAGTAAAAAGCGAACAAACGGAGCCTTTTTTTGCTCTGTATCACTGACTGGCTTGCATATAATGACACAGAATTAGCGGGACCCAGAGGTGTCAGCACAAATACAAAAACCGCAATTGATGAGGTGATAAGTGGCTTAATTTAGATGGTTGTTGTACAAAAACGGTTAAAAAAAGGAAATGACATATTTACATTCCAGCTGGAGCCTTCAAAATATTTATTCATTTATTCTTATAGCACAAAAACGGCACACAAAGAGTTCCCAAGAAAGAAAAACATTGGTAAAGACGATAAATAGGGAAATATATACACACAAAAAACAAAAAGGAAATCCGAATAACAAGAGTGAAAATTAGAATAAGACAACAGACAAAAGACATTAGAATAGCTGCTCTCATGACTCATTTTCTTGGTTTTAAAGTAAAAAAAAAAAGCTAAAAATGTTTTGATTGTGTCTATAAAAGATACTTTTAAAGTTGACTTCAGCATCTTTTCTGAATAATTAAATCAGTCTGACGTTTTTCCTGTTGAGCTGCTGCCTCACATGGAAAAAAAACTGACACCGATAACTGACATTATTTTATATTTTCCTCCAAAATCGGAAGACAGACACAGAAACGACCTGCAGTTCAGGATGAATCCACAAATGATTATTTCCAGCAAGAAACAAGCTGAGAGGAGAGTTTATCTGTAGGGGTGGGACGGTTCACAAAATCCACGGTTCGGTTCGTGGTCACTGTTTTCGGTTCGGTTCGGTATATGTTGATTGTTAGGAAAATCTATTATGTATTGTATAGTCAGGTTAAAACTGAAAGAGAAAATCAGTCTGACATTTGATACATTATTGTGACAGTCTGAGGTTAAAAGTAGGTGAGATTCTGGCATTGGGAGAGGAAACAGTGCTAATTCCAACATGTGCTTCACTCTAAATGCAAAGTGGTCCATACAGCAGAACTATAAACTGCTGTTGGCGCGTTTTATCGGCTACGCTGCTTCGCTTCTTCTTCTTGTTTCCTACTGGTGGTTGGCTTTGGGCGCAGTAGCGCCCCCTTCTGGTCTGGAGTGTAAACGCTTCCCTCTGAGAAAAAGAAGCAGCATGAACCGAACACAACACACGCGAATCGAACCGAGACAGTCGAACCAAACGGTTCGGACGGTTTTCAGAAACCGTCCCATCCCTATTTATCTGAGGTCACACAACTCTGCTGAGGATCCAACCCAGAGTCCAGCATAGAGAGGCTGAGTGAATGTGGTCTGGACTCTGTGGAGGAGAGTCCTGGTTTCAGAGACGCCGTAGAAGGATAAAATACCTGCTCCGTGATCCAGGTACACTCCTACTCTGGAGGGAGGAGGAGCTGAGATGGAGGTTACTATGCCGTTGAACCTAAAAGAAGATCTGTTTTCATGACAATATAACGGCCAAGATTTTTCATTAGATCCAAATCCACATTCATTCCCTTTTCCTTTTCTGCTGATATTCTTGTAAGCGACTGCTACAGTAACTCCCCACCCCCCTCTCCACTCCACCTCCCAGTAACAACGTCCAGTCAGACTCTCTCTGCTCAGGACCTGCAACCGTCCACAGAATCTGTCCGGATGATCAGGATAAGACTGATGTTTTTTCATTACTGTCACCTTCCTGTTCCCCTCTGACAGTAACAGGAATCTGTTTGCTGTGTTTGGATCCAGTGTGATTTTACGTGAACATCTTAAGAAGTCGGCTCTGCTCTCTGGTTCTGGTGGCAGTAAAACATCCTGCTGAGCGGCTGCCAATGAGACTTTATTCCAGTCCTGTGTCAGGATGTGCTGCAGTTTGTCCGTGAGCTCTGACACAGCTGCTTTCACGTCCTCAAAGTATCTCAGAGGACGCTCCCCGATGCTGGAGGAGTGTGTGGACTCCCCGAGTGCTGGCAGTGAGGGGAAGCTGGTCAGAAACTGGACGTGGTCCTCTGTGTGTGAGAGCTGCTGCAGCTCAGCGTCTTTCCTCTGCAGCTCAGTGATCTCCTGCTGCAGCTTCTGCTGAAGCTCTTTGACTCCCCTCACTGCAGTTCGCTGCTCAGATCTGACCTGCTGCTCCACATCAGAGCGTCTGTTCTGGATGAGACGGATCAGCTGAGTGAACATCTTCTCACTGTCCTCCACTGTTTTGTCAGCAGACTGATCGAAGGCCTCCACCTCCTGCTGGAGAAGCTTCACATCTTGCTTTTTGTCCTGGATTCTCTGCTGGATTTGTTGCCGCCTCCCCTCCAGCTCTCTCTGCCTCTCAGTCCTTTCTGCTGCCGCCGACACTGTGTGGTGGCCTTTATGTTCATCCACAGAGCAGAGATAACAGATGGACTTCTGATCGGTGCGGCAGAACAGCTTCTTCACCTCATCGTGGACGGAGCAGATGTTCTCCTGGAGCTTCTTGGAGGGCTCCACCAGCTTGTGCTTCTTTAGTGGAGCCACGTCATAATGAGGCTGAAGGTGCTCCTCACAGTAAGAGGCCACACAGCTCAAACAGGACTTGATGGCTCTCAGTTTTCTCCCAGAGCAAAAATCGCAGGCCACATCTTCAGGTCCAGCATAGCAGTGGTCAGCAGGAGCAGCTTGGAGTCCAGTCTTCTCCAGCTGCTCCACTAAAGACACTAACATGGTGCTTTTCTCCAGGACAGGCCTCGGTATGAAGTGTTTCCTGCATTGAGGGCAGCTGTGAAGTCCCTTCTGATCCTCTCCATCAAAGTGGCCTTTAATACAGTTCATACAGTAGCTGTGTCCACAGGGAATAGTCACCGGGTCCTTCAGGACGTCCAGGCAGATGGAGCAGGAGAAGGTTTCTGTGTCCAGCTGAACTCCTTTCTGAGCCATTTCTGCTGTCAGTAACTGTTAAACCGTTCGACTTTCCCCTGAACAGAATCGATCTGTGAGCTCCGAAAGACGAAAGACTGACAAGCTGAAGCAGGAAATGAGGCTTTCCCGTAACACGC